ACAAAAAATGGAAATCATTTCAAATGGAAAAACTTTTCAAATGTTTACCGGCATTGAGATTGAACATCAAGAAGTCACATGTCCCAGAATGATTTGAGTTTCAGAATTCACAAGCAACAAATTACAACAAATTATACAGCCAAGTTTCATATATGTGAAGAAAACATATCTCAGACCTCACTGCAGGCCGCAGGCGCAAATGAAACCCGGAATGAAACTGAAACAAGATATTAAACACAAAACAAAAGAAATTAAACCCGGAATAGTGAAGAAATTAAACATAATTACACAAAACACAAGAAATTGAAGAGTGAAGAAGAAGAAGTGAAGAACAGTTAGCAGGCTGCTTACCAGATGAAATTGAACAGCGAGAAAGGGTTTCGGGCTTTCAGCGGACGGCGACGGCGAGTTGGAAGAGAGTAGAAATTGAGAGAATATTATGTGGGGTTCAAATTGGGTTTCGTGTAGAGCCAGGGAGGGTTTGGGTGGGATTCGTGGGAATTGGGTTGTTATATGTGAGTGGGGGGGGGGGGGNACGGCACGGGTAGGAGTCCAGGTACAATACGAATGAAGTATTTAAAAAAAAAAAAAAAAATTTGGCCCTTTAATTTTTGGGCCCGAGGCTTGGGCCTCACTTGCCTCGGCCCAGAACCGGCTCTGTATGTAGAATTGATCACTCTTTATGTATACGTGTGCATGAATTATATATTAAAATGGAGTTAATGAATTTATTTTAATGACAACATATTAAACTATACCTCAAATATTACAAGAGGCAAACTATTTAAAATCGTGACAAAAATAAAAGCTTCACACCAATTTTTAAACTGATTGGTTATATAAGAAAATGTAACCTTAGTAAGTAGTAACTAAATGGTAAAAATAAAATACTTCAGATTTCAGTGAGCATTTATAAAATTAACTCCACAAAATAATAATTATATCATATGCAATTTTGGTAATGGAAAACTATAGTTTTAAGAATAGCATCATCTCGTGTCCTTGAATAATTGCGGAATTCTAGTGATCAAGCCATTACTTTATATGTAAAGTCTTGTTTGCCACATTTTTTTTATATTATTTTTCTTCAAAATTATCGTTGACCACACAAATTTATGATTTTCATTCATTATAAAAAAAATTATTTTTCATTTGAAAAAAAATCTGTCAAACCAACATAGAAATATAATACAATTAATTTTCATGACGTTATTTTTAGTTAATTAGGCTCTATTTGATCTACGTTCTTATAAAAATTCATTTTTTTCAAAACTTATTTTTAACCACACGTTCTTCAATAAAATAATATTACACATAAATTCAAAAAAATTCTTTATTTTTTAACCACGTCTTTTCCATCAAGTTACTATTTAAAATCAGTTTTCCACTCGATAATGTGCATCAAATTCTTAAGTCAAAAGCGGGGAAATTGTCAACCTGATACGTGGAAATTATGAAACAGTCACCCTTCCTACGTGGAGTCACACGATTGGATATCCTATCAATTTTTACAACAATCTTTGTCCTCTAAAGAAATAAAATTAAAAATAAAAATCCACAACTGTCTTCACCAGAAAAACCCCACGCCCCTCCCCACTGTTTCTTCTTCGTCTGCTCGACAAAACCCATAATAATCTCCCGCAAAACATTACGGCTAAATCAACCCAAAAATCTAGTTATAATTACAACCCTTTATCAAAACAATCCCTTTTTGATTATTAATATGAAAATCCAAATTCAAAAACAGAGTCTTTTCATCATCTTAATCTCGGGGTTCTTGTTATGGAATCGGGTCGAATCGATCCGATTCGATCTAGAATCTGGGCACACCAAATGCATAGCAGAAGACATAAAGAGTAATTCCATGACCGTCGGAAAGTATCACATTGTTAACCCTAACGAGGGTCACCCTTTGCCCGATTCACATAAAATAACCGTCCGGGTAATTATTATTTTGAAGTTCAAATTTTTTTTTTCTAAATATTAATTAGTCTTCTACTCCTGGTTATCAATTTGCTAAAAGGGTTTTGACCAATTTATGTATGATGATTTGAAAACAAAGATATTTTAGAAATATTGAACCTTTGAATCAGTTTATCGTCAATTGTTTTGATTACAAATGAGTTTCGAGGAGGACCATTCTTACAGTTGAACTTTTCTGTTATTCTGAGGAGAAGGTTTTATTAATCTAACCACGTGAATTCTTTTGGTAACTTTATTCTTTTCGTGTTTCTTTGGGGTTAATAGGATTGGATTTATGTATACAAATTATTGAAAAATTTAAGTGAAGTCTTGTTCTAGCTTTGCTTGTTAGTTCAGTGGAAATCAAGACTTTGCTCGCTTTTACTTTATTCTGTGTAAATTTAGCCTGTGTATTAATGGAGTAGAAATGATTTGATTGAGTTTTTTATGTAACTTGTAGGTGACATCGGCTTATGGGAATAGCTATCACTACTCAGATCATGTTACAGAGGGGCATTTTGCATTTCAAGCAACGGAGGCAGGTGATTACATGGCTTGCTTTTTTGCAGGTGATCACAAATCTTCCACTACTATTACCGTTGACTTTGATTGGAAGTCTGGTGTTGCTGCCAAGGATTGGACGAATGTTGCCAAGAAAGGTTCTGTTGAAGTAAGTGCTCGATCTTCTCCACCTTTTGCTCTTAATCGAATTTATGCACGAGATTTTTATTCTGTCTTTGGTATTAAGCTGAAAGTGAGCTTAATTGTAGTGCCTGCCCACATCCCTTTCCCTTTACCCTTACCCCACATACTTGAGAGCTTCCCAAGGATCTTGCTACTGCGGCTTGGGGTGGGGCATGGTTGTGTAATTGCGAAAGTGGGAAAGGGTGTGGGGGAGGGGGAGAAGGGTATATTGGGATTATTACAAAAATGAGTCTCATTCTAACAAAGTTGAAAAAAAGGCCTTTTTTTCATTTCTCCCTCCAACTTGATCCTTCCTAAACCATATTCTATATATATCTTTGGGTTTATCCAATTTGTACCTATAACCCGTTTTTCGACTGTGGTACCTATACTGAGTTTAGTACGGGGCAGATGAAATTTTTCTGTGGGGATGGGAATGCTGGGAGTCTATTTTAGGTTATGTTTTCTTGATGCTGTCGAGGACTATAATCAGCGAGTGGTTCATGTAGTCTTTTTTGTATATTTTGACCTGAAATTTTTATGTAACTCTATTTCTTACTAAACCATGGTCTTCATCAAATGATTCGTTGCGAACACGAGCATTCTCTAGCTTTTTCTGTGAATCTGCTTTTGTGCAGTAGTTTCTTGTTCTTGCTCTGAGATCTGAATTACACTTAGAAGGAGGTTACTGCCCAATAAATCTAATCCAGATTTTTATATTTGATTGTTCAAGGTTCCAGGTGATATTTGAAACTGTTCTATTTCTATATACCCTTATGTATCTCTTCCTTTTCTTGATGTTGTTTGTACGACTTTTTCATACTGCATTAAAGATAGCTGAACTAGGTAAATTTGATTGCAGATATGTAATAATGCCTGAAATGCTTGAATTGGATGTAAATTGTCAATAAAAATGATGTGCAGTCCACCTTTTTTTTTTTTTAACTGTATTCTCATGTCCCAGGTTATGGAATTAGAGCTGAAAAAAATGTTTGATACAGTGCAATCTATCCGTGACGAGATGTTTTATCTACGTGAAAGGTGAGCTTTTCAGTTCTAGCTTTACAACGAAATTTTGGCATATTTGGTAGGGTGATTATATAGTTCTGAAGCTAAATCTTGTTCACTATATTGTTCAATCCTCTTGTTCTGTATTGCGTACCAAACGTTCATTTTATGTTTCCACTTGATAACAACTGATGTAGAACCTTATTCCCCTCGTATGATTGATTCTTGTTCCAGGGAGGAAGAAATGCGGAAACTTAACAGGTCCACAAATAGCAAAATGGGGTGGTTGAGTTTTTTGTCGTTTTTTATTTGCTTGTCTGTGGCTGGCATGCAGGTATGGCATTTGAAGTCGTTCTTCGAAAAGAAGAAGCTTATTTAACAGTGTTCTAAATCGTGTAGTCGTGAATTGGAATTACAAATGCCCAAATTTGAATGGATTTTTACGTATTCTAAAAGTAGGAATCCAATTCCAAATATTCAGATGCAAGGTTCATACTAGTGTTTTTCTGATTATTATAAAAGTTTGGGAAAAGGAGAATTACGTGCTTACTCAATGTTGCACTGGACATGCAATAAATATCAGTAAGTGTTCAAAAAGTCGTTCATGTGTACAAATGACGAATATGGACTTGTTTCCTGAAAGGAATTGACAATCATTTAAAAGAATTATAAATAACTACCACTTTAGTTACATTTTCAAATCAATTAATTTGTACTATATTTTTCAACCCTATCTGTGAAGAAAAACATGGAGGAAATGACTCCCTGGGTTTAATCATAGATATACCACGAACATAAATATGAATGCAGAATGAATACATACAGAATCAACCTAAGTTGCTTCTATTCTGCCAAATGTAACTACAGCAGTGACGTAATTAATTAAGATTAATTTAGAAAACATATTTAGTACAAGACATGTCTGAAATTATTTCAAGAAGTCAGCCAACTACAACAGATTACAACTCAAAGAAAACAAGTTTGGATAATGAACATTTGTAATTTTACTTGAGGCACTATTGTCACTCACTTTGAGATCAAGAAACTGGGACTGTACAAATAATAAGCACGCCCAAGATTAAATCCAAATGGCACGAAAAAGCATTGGTCAAACGAGCAGTCTTGCAAACCTCAAACGATGGACTTCAGGCACAATTGATCTTCGTTCTGTATGCAATATTGGTAGATATGAAGCATCATCTTTCATATTTGGTATATCTCATACCTTTAAGATGCTCCAGTGATGATCGGATGGTAACATATCCTTTATCTTTTCGAGCCTCTTCAATATCTCCAAGAAAGAAGGTCTCACATTCATATCCGCTGCCCAGCACCTCTCAGTTAACCTACATGTCCAACTCAATTGATTATCGGGATGTCAAATATTCAAGTGACTATATTGTCTGCTAAAACCACATTTGCAGTAAAATTGGCGGTTGCACCAATGTGTTAAAAATGTATATGATTTAACTTATTTAAGTTATTTTAAAAATTTACTGCTGAACATGGGCCACGGTTACACATGCACACCATATAAGATATTATAGACCACATACTCTCTCAAATCCGGTATAAAACCTTTTGCCCTAAAACCTGGCCTGTGTCCCTCTGCAACATATCTAGCGGCTTCATATGGTTCGTAATGTGCCAGTGGCGGTTCACCTTCAAGCATCTGCATTAGTTCGCAGATCTCTTTAGATTATATTCCAATCAATTATGGTTCCATTCTATTCTATAAGATCATTGCAAAAGAGAAAACGTCGACTTTCTTGTCATATTTTCGGTGCTTGAAGACTTCAGGAGCCATATACCGGTCTAATAGTTGCAAAAATACAGAATTAACTACCTTTGTCAAATCCCAGCTTTATTGACAATTCACAAAATAGTTACTTACAGCTTCCAGTTTCACCAGTCATTTTGTACACATCGTGAGAATTTTGCACCCTAATAAGCTTGCTCAATCCAAAGTCTCCAACTTTCAAATGGTCTGCACTCGAGTTGACAAGAAGAACATTCCTAAAAATGTACCATACTCAGTTAGACAGCTATTGGGGAAAGAAAGATTTTCCCAAGAGTTCCCAATACAGAATGATAATGATGTGCAAGCATTTTAACATGGGTTTTGGTTGAGAGACATGATGACATTGACAGGTAAGTAATAGTTATTCGACAACATATGCTCATGTCCTCCCAATTGTATTCAGAAAACCAGCTAACCTTGGTTTTAGATCTCTGTGTATTATAACATTTGGCTCGCTGTGAAGATAAGCCATGCCTCTGTCAAAACATGATTTATGAAACTTAGCATACTACACATTCTAAATTACAGCATAAATTAATTTATTTAAATATTAAAAAATCATCCCATATTCTTAATGAAGGCTTGTTTGGCCATGACACCAATATACTCCAAAACATAAGAAATAAGAACTATCACCCAAAGGCCAAAGCATACATCATATTAAATTTAACCAAATTACAAGGAAACTTATTCATTAACGACCCCCACCCCCCTCCTCCCCAACACACACATTTTTATTTGCCAAGATATGTAACGTTACGGATTTTTATCCTGGATGCTGTTTATGGACCGCTAAGCCAAATTATTTTATGCCACACCTTAGATGACTGAAGAAAAATTCAATCTCAATAAGCAAAATGTATCTGGGAATAATAGGCCTTCTCTCTAATAACAGTGTAAAACTAAACCATGTGCTTGGGGCAACAGATTTCATCAGTAATTTTGCATATGATTGAGATGCTCCTGAAGGACAACTGACATGATAAAAGGGTTTGGAAGTTCTTAGTAAACCGAAACAAAGACAATAAATTTGATGCTAATTTTACCTGGCAATATCTAATGCGAAACTGATCGCTGTTGATGGATTGAGTGCCCCCTTTTCCTTTAGGTGTTGATGTAGATCCCCCTATATAGGAATATGAATGAAACACTTAGGACAGGACTCTCCATTGTCAGAAGTAAAAAAATTCTGCTTCAACATGGGAAACAGATTCACTTACACCCCTTAAATACTCTGTAATTAGCATTAAGGGCTTCCTTTCTGTGACCGCTCCAAGAAACTGGACTATATTTGGATGGCGAAGTTTAACTAGCAAATTCACCTCATGTCTGAAGTCCTGACTGCGTCAAAAAGGAACATGATTTGAATATGGCTATGATCAGTTAGTGGAGTAGAACTCCTAAAAATTTACATTAAGTCTCAACTACTAATAGAGCTAAATGAAGATAAATCATCTCTTTTGAACCAGGACTAGAAAATAAATAAACAGCCACTTTGTAAAAATTAAAAGAATGAACATACATTCTATTCAAATCAACACAATCTATTAGTAATAATAACTAATAAGAAATGTAACATCATAACCAAGCGAACAATCTTAACCCAGGTATGAAACATACATCACCAATCTATCATCTGAGAGGTTTGGAAGAATTCGTTTGACAGCTACAGGTGTTCCCCTCCAACTAGCTTTTATTATCTCCCCAAAAGAGCCCTACCAATATCAGCCGTCATCAGGAACTTTGCATAAAGATATAAATAATACAGAAAAATCAACTTATCAAAGCCAAATAACAAACAACAAAGAATAAATATTCCATATGTAAACAACAAAGAGCATTCCATAAAAATCAGTAACATATCCAACACAAAAAATTAAATAGAAAGAAGATGGCACGGAGCATTAAAATTATAGTTTGGGAGGTCATGCTCCCCACCTGCCACCCCTACCAAAATAAATAAATAAATAAATAAAAGAAAAACAACAAATCTTTGGAGGAAATTATACAGGGTATTATTAATATAGAAGGAAGATGGTACTGTGCCATAAAAGAGTGCAACCGCAGCTCACTGACATTATACAAGAAGCAAAACATAACAGAGCCCAGGAAGGCAATTCTTGAGTACATTCCACTAATTATTAAATATACAAACAAATATATATCTGACTAAAATCCTCAAATCCAACTAGGTTAACCTACTTCTCAACAGTAAATGTAACTGCTTCAGATATATGTTCTAGGTTATGATTTGATGCAGACCATTATATTGGAAAAAATAATGAAATGATTCTAACTTAAAATATACACAGAAAATATCAATATTTTGCATCATTAACACAGAGTATCAAATTACTTACTATCTACTGCACTGAACTGAACAGTGACTAGTGGACAAAAAAAGAGTTGATCAGTAATTTTTTTAATACAGACCTTCCCTATGATTGTTGAGCTTGAGAAGTCCAGTTCACCGGGATCAATCTCCCAGTCACACTTATTTGGAAGAGGGGGTGGAACAGGCCTCGGTTCAAAATGGCTTCCATTCTGCCCCTGCAATACGTGCAATAAAACTAAGCTAATAGAAATGAAAAAAACTAAGTAATGCCTGAACTTCTATATATGACGAGAATAGATGATGACCACAACTTAAAAAAATTCAACTGACTTGTGCATGCCATGAATCTCACAAACACATTCAAACACGCTTGAGTAGCTCAGGGTTGGCTTTTGAAGTGCTTGTTCAAGCTCAGATTGGAAAAAATGAAATTTAGCATGATCTAGTTTATAGGCTTCTATAGTTTCTCAGCATTACAGCTAGTAAATATAGGGCAAATCAGCCAAATTGCTTGAACTCAGCTCTCATTCAAGCTCAGCTTGAATAGTAATCAAGTCAAGGTTTAGCATTTTAAAAACTTGTTACGTTACCACTTGAGGGATGTAACAATCAGCTGGGCTCATTTTAAATTGATGTTTTCCAAAGCATAACATCATTTCGATTTTTGTTATATAACTTTTATAAAAAGAAAAATCATGATTAGTCCGTTGCTATACTCGGATACCTAATTACATCCATTATGACTTCCCAAGCACAGGCACCATCATGTAGAATTAGATGTCATCTCATGAATTTCAACACTTGACCCCAAAAATGAAAGGAAGAGGGAAAGATGACAACACATACCAAACAAACAATTAACCATTAAAAAGTCAGACCTTGAGACGTCAAGAAGAGTCCCTCCCCTAATTTTAGGTTCATAAAGTACAAAAAGAACTCCATGAACTTTAGCACCTGAACTGAAGTGAACATGCATCAAATACAGCGATGAGTGAAGAGAATTGATGAACAATCTTGAAAAACCAGCACAGCTATAGCTTGGAAAGAAAGAGACCAAGGAAGTCCGATGCGAGGAAGATTTAAATGTTTGCACAGACTCACTAACCCAATTAATCCTGACCTCTTATTGTTCTTAGTAGCAGATGTTTACATCTCAAGCAAACAAACAAGTAAAAGTTTTATTCAGTTATAGAACTTAAGTCATAATTCCAAACTTCCGAAGAATGTAGAGAATGTAACTTGTCAAAATAACAGCCCCTCAACCCCATCCCCCTGACTGAGAAAGTGAAGAAATTTTGAAGATGAGTAACAAATAATACCATTGACATCACAAAAAATACAACCACCCGAAGAGTCATATTTACCAAATGAAAAATGCAAGAAAAAAATGAGACTTACATAAGATAGCCCACCATATGACTTTAATAACTCAATCATTCCATGTCTTTTTGCTCCTTCAGCATCAGCTAGAGGCTGTCCTCACCAATAAAAAGACCAGAAAAAAGGGGCAATGAGTAGAAACTAGAAAGAGACTTCATCACAAATTAAGGTTCACAACATAGAAAGAGGAAAAAATGGAAACAGAAGTTAGTGCGTGATCTCTTAGGTGTATATGGGGTGGAAAGTGGAGCACTGCAATGACACTTGGATTTATCTCCACCAAGGAACTCTATATTCACATCACATCCGCATAGAATAGAAGACTGATAATCCAAAACTTGAGATCATAATATTGATAATTTGTAAGCCTAAACCCAAGCTTACCAAACAGAAGGTGGTACTCTAGTTTAAATATCGTACAAGATTTTTTTTATCCTAATTTTTATTGATATTGAAACTGTTATATGCATAATACTAATTGTATTACATTTGACTATTTGAAAGTAGTCTCTTATATATTTGGGATAATTTTGAAGTCAATTAAATGCATCTAAAATTACAGTAAGAAAAACCAAAAGCAACTCGTTACACAGGTAACATATAAATGAAGGCTATCTTTTAACTCCAAAATTTTCTATTACATTAATATCAATTTCATATCTGCACAAGTTGATATCAAGAAATCTTCCAAATTGTTTTTTTTTTTCCTAGTCCTACGAACTTCTCTTTTGGTACTTTCTTTAAAAATAATAATAATATTTAGGAGTTCAATTTTTTTATTATTATTATTATTTTTTTTAACGTAACACATAATACTAATTCATTGCCGAAGCAAAGGATGAATGAAAAACCAACAGCAATAAGGTCCAGACTGAACTTTGCTATTGGTGTCATTGTGGGTATAATGAAAGATGTCCAAGGCCAAGTTATTATTAGGATGTGTTGCAAGCATGGAACTTAAAAATTCTAAGCAATTGAACTGCCTAGAACTTAATTGCATAAAAATTATTAATTAAATGTATTTGGTTGGTTTAATTTTTAACCTAGAAAATGTTATACTTATCCATCTTTTATTGGTTGGTAAATAAGAGAGAGAGAGTGAGTGAACTGCCTAGAAAATAAAAACAAACCCTCCTTAAAGAAAATGTTTTCCTTGTTTTTCGAAAAATATGGTCACGTGACCAACTTTTGGAAAATATTTTTCATGAAAAAAATGTCAATCAAACACCCAAAAGTAGGAACTTTGGTGGAAAGACATTTTCCCCGAGAAATAAAGTGAATCAAACACACCATAATTTCTTTTTCAGATTTTCTATTGAACTTATAAATTTAAACCTGGCTTTTTAGCTATTAATGTACCCATCTAATTTGCGCTCAAACGCAAGAAGCAAGGGGGTTGAGCTATGTGACCTGGGGCAAAGTAATTGGAAATCCAGTTTCTACACTATTTATCAGAGAGGACCAAAGCACACCACCCTCAATCATTGGATCATAGCCCATTATGGAAACCACTATGTATTCAGTTTTGACAATATCATTTGAGTTTTGGTCGTGAGGCTTTAAGGTCAATGCTTAGTTGAGGTAAATACATCGTCACTTAGGTCAATATTGTACTTCATTACTGTTCTGTGACCCAGAAGTAGTACCTTAGAATACCATAGCCATATAAGGACAAGGTTCAGGCTAGGAAAGGCTTATGGTAGATTAGGCACAATATGGTTATTAATGTTCAACAGTCAAATTACTTCCTCTTTCATCAGCACCATAATTCATATAATAACCGACTCATAAATTTGGGCATCCTAACCAAAGAAACTACAAATAAGGATTTTGAGACCTCATATAAGTTATATGTTAGTGCAGAGTACAATATGGTCAATCATAATTGACCGTACCCCCTACTGAATGGGACTGTCAGTGTATAGCATGCACAAGTGCATGATTGTGGGCCTGTGGCACGTCACACAGGCAGCCCAGAGGTGATGATTAGCTTTGCTAGACCATACACTCCTGGATATTTAAAGACAAAGTATCCACATGATCATTATAGAAACTCCATTTTACTTTGAATCAATTAATACTTCAAGAACCTTTTAATAGCTCGGGCACATGCACAAAGAACATCCCACACTCACTTTCAATCACATCCTAGTTCGGTTAACAAATGTTAACGAATGTGAAAAATTACAGGAAACCATGCCATCAGGCATAGTTCGCCAAATGGGGATACATCATACACAAGAGATGGAGACAGAAAAATATCATCAATGTAATCAATTCACGTGAATTTCTCAAAATTGCCTATAGGAAAATAATCGGAAAATTCACAAAAAATTCAGAACCGCATTGCAGATGGAAATGTACAAATTAAGTCCACGCACACAATTACAATTGTACAAACTAAGAATAGCAGAACTTCAGGAAAAAAAATGATGCATCTGACTGAGAATGAGTGCTAAATAATTTACAGTTAAAATCCAAACTATAAAATTATGCACACAATGTAATTTAATCATCACTTATATAGCCATAAATCAATAATTATACACGTGTAAGTATATAATATAAATCTATATATCTAAATGATGAAGAAAATACGGTGTTTTTCCAGCGATCTTGAGCGTTGACGTCAGCATCATACTCAAGGAGGCAGTTGGCGACGTCGATCCAGCCGTGGAGCGCCGCCACATGAAGCGGAGTACGGCTGTCATAGTCTCTGGCTTGTACCAGAGATCGATCCTCTTCAAGGAGCTTTCTCACTGCCGCGGCATCATTCTGGTGCGCGTGCCACAGGATTAGAGAAGTCCGGCTCACCCGCGCCTTCTCCTTCTTCTTCTCCTTATCCGCCACGGATGGCGGAGTTCCTTCCCCTCCAGCACCGCTCACCGCCGATTTCCCTGAGCTACCCTCGCTGCCGCTCATTGAATGGATTAATCGGATCCGAATTTCTAAATGTCTCCCTGGAAGTTTGCTTTGACACTCGCGCGTGTTTTAGCAACTGAAAAACAGTGAATATTTACGTGGGAAAAATGGAAACGCCAAAAATAAAATAATTAAATATATTTTGCATTTTATCATCTAATTATAGACAACTTTTCAAAAATAAAAACAAGTGAGCGTATTAACTATTATTCGAGAGTACGCAAAATGTTAAATCAAGCCATACTTTCATTTATATATATATATATATCAACGAAAGCATCCATTNATATTTTGCATTTTATCATCTAATTATAGACAACTTTTCAAAAATAAACACAAAGCATAGGATTTATAGTATGTTTTATAAAGTTTATGATTCGTGGGGGGCGGACGCTGACCTTAAAAATTAGGGGATACAATCAAACTTGCAAAGAAATTGAGAGAAATTTTACAATAAAAAAAAATACAGGTTAATGTAAACTTTTAAATGTACCTTATACTGAAAAACTCTACATTTTAAAGCTTTTAAAAACTATAGTATAAGATATATTTTAAAGGATTTAAAATGATGAAAATTATATTGAGAAATTTATAATGCAAAAATAATAAATGTTAATGAGATAATTGAATTTTTTTAAAAAAATGTGAGTTAGATGTCTTTTTTTAAGACTCACTTTTAACGTATTTTGATCTATTTTCAATATCTGTTTGGACTATTCAATATGCCAATAATATAATTCTCTAAATAAGTTTTGAGATAACATAAGCAATTTGTAGATTCGATTATCGTACGATCGTCGGAGAATTTTTAAAATTAGCGTGTTATCGAAATTCAAATTTATTGTGATTTTGCCAATATTTGATGGAGATTAGAATCAAAGTTTTAGTAAATTTTGATAAAAGTTAAACAATTATGGATTTCATGAAATACGTTATCAAAATTAATTGTTAATTTTGATTTAGATTAAAATTTAGATTTCAATCAATACCAAACACAATTTTATAAAAAAAAAAAATCTCAAAAGTTGGGAGACTTGCCCCCCAGGACCCTCCCTAGGTAATCCCATGGATTCGTGAATTAATATGTTAATAATAAGCCCCCGTTTGATGTGAAAAAAAATAAATAAATAAAAAGAAGTTTTGAATAGGATTTTTAAGAGAATGAGTGATTAAAATGTATCAAAAATTTTGAATTTACGTGTAAAATATTTTATTATATAAATGTATTGCTAAAAATGATCTTATAGCAAAAATATTTTTAAAACAATGAGCGCCACCAAACAAGGGCTTATGAATCCTACAAAATGTTCCGATGTCAAGCAAATGAAAACAAGAACTTTCATTTTTTTTTTTTTTCCTATTTAAATATACTGTTTTATAATCGATTATCCGTTTACGTTAAGTTCAATTATTATTTCCCCGAATGGACATATTTGATTATGATTGCAATACTAATTGATCAATGCTGAATGGATTCAAACATTGAATACTCGGCGTAATCTACAATCAATAAGACCAATTCAATTGCATGTCTAGTACAACATTTATAAGCTTCACTTCAAATAAGACCAAAAATTTTGATGGTGTTTGGTGGGGATTAAAATTAGGGCCCTATTTATTTCTGATTCTCAAATCAATTCTCAAATCAATTCTCATTTTCAACCACACATTCTTCAATAAAATAATATTTTCCATCACATCAATACTTTTTTCTTCTTTTTCAACCACACATTTCCCATCATATCACTATTCAAAATCAATTCTTCCCCCAAAAATCCACATAAGCTATTTGTAAATTCGATTATCGTACGATTGTCGGAGAATTTTTAAAATTAGCATGTTATCGAAATTCAAATTTATTGTGATTTTTCCCCTATTTGATGGAGATTAAAATCAAAGTTTTAGTAAATTTTGATAAAAGTTAAAAAGTTATGAATTCCATGAAATATGTTATCAAATTAATTGTTAACTTTGATTTATATTAAAATTTATATTTCAATCAATACCGAACACAATATGTTAATAATAAGCCCCCGTTTGATGTGAAAAAAAAAAAAAAAGAAGTTTTGAATAGTATTTTTAAGAGAATGAGTGATTAAAAGGTATCAAAAATTTTGAATTTAGGTGCAAAATATTTTATTATATAAATGTATAGCTAAAAATGATCTTATAGCAAAAATATTTTTAAAACAATGAGCGCCGCCAAACAAGGGCTTATGAATCCTACAAAATGTTCCGATGTCAAGCAAATGAAAACAAGAACTTTCATTTTTTTATTTTTATTTTTCCTATTTAAATATACTGTTTTATAATCGATTATCCGTTTACGTTAAGTTCAATTATTATTTCCCCAAATGGACATATTTGATTATGATCAATGCTGAATGGATTCAAACATTGAATACTCGGCGTAATCTACAATCAATAAGACCAATTCAATTGCATGTCTAGTACAACATTTATAAGCTTCACTTCAAATAAGACCAAACAATTTTGAGGGTGTTTGGTGGGGATTAAAATTAGATTTTTAGTGGATTGTGATAAAAGTTTTTTAAATGTGTGGTTGAAAAGATATGAGACTCATGAAAGATATGATTAATATTGATTGTTTGATTTTAACTTGAATTAAAATCTGATTTTAATCCGGTCCAAACAGGCCCTTAATCTATAGCAATTCCTTCTGCTCCTAGAAAACGACATTAGGCTAAACTACCAATTGAAAGTAGATCGGTTAAATACTATTTATCTTTAGAGAAACTACGTAGAAGAGTTATATGTATTTAATGTTATGCAATGTCTTTGGTCTTACTTTGAACTAGAAATAATAATTCCTATTATCAGAGACAAGTTGTATTTCTCAATATCCTAAGTCAATTTATTGCTGAGGTGTGCCAATTTATCAAGTCTTCTTCTTGATGAATTATCATGTGAATCCTTCACGAAAAAGCCAAAAAATTGTCTTTGCATCTTTAACAATATTCAAGAAGGGAGATTGATCTTGTTGAAGTGGTCCAACAAGTTTTAGTGGCTAGGAAAATTTAAAAAAACCCCAGATTGTGAGCATTATTATGCCTCTAAATATCAAAGTCAACTGTACAATTTTGCTGCCTTCATATTTGTGTAACAAGAATGTTCAATTTTATCAGAACTTACTAATCCCAATTGCTGCAATTTTTTTATGTAAAATTAATTTGGACTCAATGGATATAGCGGACGTGATGAGTTTGTGTTTAGTATGTTGAAATTGAATATGAATAAAATAAAACTAAAAAATAACATATATATCTAATTCAACACACAAAACACAGTACCGTGTCCAATTAAGACGACCAAATTTGCCCTAGCAATAATGTTTCCCATATCGAAGGGCCAACATTTCTCTTGGTCTCAAATCATGCAGGTTGGATTCGATACACGTCTTTAGGTTGTTTTGAGCAAGCATGTCAAACATAGAGACTAGGCAGGCATCCAGATAGGACAGATTTTTCAAAAAATTTAGCCTCTATTTGATAACCATTTTTTGGGTAAAAAGAAGTTTTCAACAGTGATTTTTTGAAAAATGTATGGCTAAGAAAGAAATTTTTTTGGGGTTTACATGAAGAATATTTTATTATGAGAATGTGTGTTTAAAAATAAGTATAAAAAAGAGTTTTGAAATAACGATTATCAAACAAAGGTTTAATATATCCTAATAACATTTTTTTAAAACAAAATACTGGGGGAAAAGCCCAAAGTTTGACTAGATGCATGGGCTACCGGGCGGGCTGTCCTAAACCAAACAAAGGCCCAGGACAGCCCACACATGTTGGCTTAACCTCATCAAGATAACAAATGATACAAAAGCTTCAAAAGAGATTTTATGTGCTTCAAAAGCTTCATCAAGAGGTTGTTGGGGCCTTTTCCTAGGCCTCATGGGTCCAATCCTGTCCAAGACGCTAGCAGACCTTTTAGGCTCGTCCTCCTGAGGGTATTTTGGGGGAAAGTGCTCTTCCATGAGGACATTTCCATGGTGGCTCGTGACATTGTTGGTGGATGTGTCAACTCCCACTTCCCTTTCCATTGGGTCGTTCATCCCGTACGTTTGTGGATACGCTGATGTGTCATTTTCTTCATCCTCCTGGCAAAAAGTCCTATGCTGGGGCACCTGGGATCCAGCTTGTTGTTGCATCTGCATTAGTAGTTGCTACATGGCCGCATTTTGTTGGGCCATATTTCTCATGTTTGCAGCAATTTCCCTAACTTCTTGTGCTAAGCGCGCAGTCGTGCCACCTCTTCTATGGTGATGATGGGGGCGATGAATGTTTAAATTCGTGCGGAGAACCTCAAGAAGTCTCCGTAGGACAGTTTATTTCCCTCCATGTGTTCCCTGATGACTGGAACTCATTGAGCTTCCTGGATCACTTTCTCAAAGTGGTTCTTTGTTTAAGAACCAAAGCCTTTCTTTAAGGCTTTTCACCTACAACTTTTACCACTAGGATGTGTGTGGTTATGGTATCAAAGTTTCCCACAGACGGTGCCAACAGAAAATTAGAAACTCAAGTCCTTGTAGATCGAATCGCAATATGCTCGCATTCAACTACTAGCTATATTGGTGAATCAACACGAAATTGTTTACAGCACTTAGTAGGTTGTTATTTTAGGTTGTTTGGTGCATAAAAAAGGGGTCGGCCTTCGGATGTAGTGGGGAGAATCAAGGTTTACTTTGGATGTGTAAATTTGCATTGTCCTTTTAACGTATGGAGTGTAGGCTTTTTATACCTCGTGTTGAGTCAGCGGGGCCCGTTCAATGGTAAAAGATCCAATAGCACTTATTAGATTCAATCAATCAATCAAGCTATTAATGCATAGATCCTCTTATCTTTTTCCCTAACATAGGATTTCACTGCATAGGCTTGTAGAGACGGCACGGCAAGATATTATCTTGTCAATCATTTCATTAAGTCTGCTGTTGGTTGGAACATGTCGAACACACGTTCGACATATTCCAAACTTGAAGAAGAATCTCATTTCGTTGAGTACTCTTAATTCAAAAAAGTACACGTTCTCTGGAGGAGGTGGAGTCTTGAAGGCTCGAAAGAATATTCATGTAGTATTGGAAGGGCGGAAGAGGTCCTAGTTATACATCTTGCAAGGTTGGACATAATTTGTGAAGAACAAATTTAGTACCGAGGTGGAAATTCAGTTTGGTACTATACTTTTGGGATTTGTTTGAGGTCCATATTGAAAAATACTACTCATCCGAATTTGGAGGATGTGGATAATTTCGCTTTACCACCATTACATGCGGTTTCATCATATTCAACTATTAGGGATAGACCCATTGGAGATAGGTACGTAGATACTAATTCGGTTGCACATGCTTTTAGAGTTTTTGAAATTGTTGAGACTAGTTAGGGGCCTTCTATGAAAGCGTGAGTTGATTCTACTACAGGGTGTATTTCGACACTATTTGGTAATTTCTAATTCTTTGTAAATCTTGGAGAACCCAATGTTTGGGTTTATGTATCCGTGTGTTGGATACCTTGGAAGAAGGGAAGAATTTTTGTGTTGGGGAAAGTTTGGTTCTTATTGAAGAGTTCAGATTTTTCGTTGCAATTGGATTTATTTTTCCAAGTGGAGAAATTTTGAAGTTTCGTTCGTTGCATCAAAATTTGTGTTAATGTGGATATTGTTGAATTTTTTTACCCAATTAGGTTGGATTTTTTAAGAAAATAATTTTTCCTTCTTTGCACAGGTTATTATTGGAAAAATATTGTTTCCTTTATTCCACGTGATTTTGATCTTGTTTCCATCTTTGTTGTATTTCTAGAATTTGGCATCAACCCCTATAAATACTAGACTATTTTCACAAGTTTTGTATTATTAAAATATAGAATAATTATGTATGCACAATTATTGTATTTGTTTTCTCCATATTAATCAATTGAATAAAATACTTCGTTCCTCTGTCAATTAATTCTTTGTCTTTTATCTTGTTGTTTCTTTGCGATCATATACTTCATATCGTATTATATATGTTACCTAGATCCGTTTTATTTCCCAACAAGTAGGAGGGTGGCCTTTATTGAGTTGATAGCGTGACATGTGTCTCATTCGGAAGACTTCCTTGATATTTGATTTCTGTAAAGAGATTTTGTTCATCGTAATATCTTTGTCTCGTTCTTCAAAGCTTAGTCAACTTGTATACCTTCTTCCCTCTTGGACCAAGTGAGGCCTTATGGTCTTGGAGTGCTTGGCCTCGGCCTTGGCCTTGCCAACCTCACTATTCGTAGGAGTCTCGACTTTGGCCTTTAGTGGTGTTTTGCACTTAATATTGTCCAAGTGTTGAAACGCTTTCAACCGCCTCCGTGTTGCACTGGTCAGCCTCTTCACTAAATACCGGCCTCATCATACTTGGCTCTTATGCAGTGTTGGCCTCCACGTCAATCCTACAGGCATTAAATAAGAATCCATGCAAGATAAATGTCTAATAATAGACTCCCAAATTCAAGACTACATTTATGTTAAACGCCAAGACTTAATTTGACATAATTTTTTGCAGTAGAAAAAAGGGGAAAAGGGGACTGAGGTTGCTCTCATTCACCATCCTTGTATTCTATTTCAATTATCTAGCATTCAAAAGCCTTTTCTCATGAAAAATGTCTTCTTAGGGGATAATTTGCTTAAGGGTAATTGGCGCAAAACGTCCCAACCTTTCGTTTTTTTACGCGTCTTGCCTGGAAAGTGAAAAAAAAAAATGTGTTTTGCAGTAAAAGGGGTTAAAAACTGTATTTATGACCAATATACCCTCCAATTTAAATAAAACAAAAAGGAAAAGAAAAGAAAAATCAAGAATAAATTGTAATCTTACTCCTACACTTTCTAAAAAATGCAAATTAATCCAAAACTTATAAAAATATTTAAAAAAATACTGCACCACTATCGTTGAAATTGGAAAAACCTGTAGAAAATAGATGGGAGAAAAATCAAGTAATTTATTTTAAAGGGAATAATGGATAAATATCTGAGAATCAAACAAAATAAAAAAAATAAGAAGTAAAATCATAAAAAAGGGGAAATCAAGAACAATGATATAAACCTTTTCCCCATTTCATTTGGTGATGCTTTCACGCACCCCACACGCACATGTACACAATCAATTGAGTTAATCTCGAAACTCCTAATAAATTTTGTTGAATCCGTCGTGGTTGATAATGGAAAAATCAATTTCGAATAGTTAAACGTTCATTTTCGGAAGCCCTAATTGGAAACTTTGGATCTTAAATCTAAATTAATCAGATCTTTTCTATCTGATTATTGGAATCGGGTTTGGAGTTGTATACAATGGTGTGCTGAATTCGGGAATTGATAGGAAACGATGAGCGGAGCGAAGAAGAGGTTTCAGATAGAGGCAATTGTGACCCGGGATGCTGAGAAGACTTGGAAGATCCTGGAATTTGCAAATATTTTGACCAGGGATGCTCTGCAATTTGTGGTTGATTTGCAAAGGGAATTTAGGAACCATATTAAGTATGCTTTGGAGTGTAGAAAAGAGGCCAAGATGAGATACAATAATGGGGGATTGCCGGGGTGTGATCTGACTACCAAATACATAAGAGAAGAGGACTGGGTTTGTGCCACTGTGTCGTCGATGGTGGCTGATCAAAGTGTGGAAATGATTGGGCCAGTAGAGAGGAAGATGATTTTTTGCCCTTAATTCACTATCAGAAATGGAACAAGTAGAGAAAAATTGGAACTAGAATCGAAAGGGAAGAATTAAATGAATAACAAACAAGGCAATTGTGGGATTTCTATATAAGTCTATCTGCAACCATTGATCTTCAATCCCAGAGAATCTCAGAAAATAAATAACTGACCAAAATTGCTTTTCCACACACAGCAATTTCACGTTTTGGCCAAACAGCGATTGTTGGCCAAAATCAAATTATCAGTAGATGATTTTTTGCCCCTTTTTTCAGCCCCTTTTTTGAGAGAAAAAAGGTGAGGGATGGAATGGTTTAGGGTTTTGGTGGCGGCGACGGGTGGAGGAGGCGGAGGGGATGGAGGAGAGAGAGTGTTTTTGTTATTTTAAATATTTTCATAAGTTTTGGACTGATTTGCATTTTTTAAAAAGCTTAGGAGTAAGATTGCAAGTTATTCTTGATTTTATTTTATTTTCCTTTTTGTTTTATTTAAATTGGAGGGTATATAAGTCATTTTATGTCAAATGACGTTTTGCTCAAAAAAAGTGAAAGGTCGGGATGTTTTGCTCTAAAAACGAAAGGTTGTGACGTTTTTCACAAAAAGGGGCAAAGGTAGAGACGTTTTGCACTAATTACCCTATGCTGAAAGTATCTTAGAAAGGCTGATGGATGGAAAATTAGAATCTTATCGACAAAAAAATCCAAGCAAACATCTCCGTGATAAAATTTCCAAACCAAATTCAACATAAACATTTAATGAGTTCTCTACTTTAGTCCTCTTTTCATTGAATTTTATGAATTCCCAACATCTCAGTTCTTGATTTTTAATTTGCTGAAAATTATTGGCACGAGAGTTATCTAAGTGTTCAATGCAAAATTTTCTTGGCTTTTACCATACAGATTGCAGAGGTAAAAGGTGTATTCAAGTTGGAATAAGTTCTTTTGAATTCCACATCGAGAAAGTGATGAGGAGTTGGAACTGGACAGGTAGTATAAAAAAGGACTTAGTGGGCCTTCAAAAAAGAACTTATCTAGACGGAGTTAATAGGAGATCAAGAGGGCCCATGGCCTAGGCTGGTGACTTCCATTGCACTTTGGAGGGGTGCGCGCCTAAGGTTGGCCCAAGTTGTCGAGCCTACGTTATAATTTCAGAGAGTGGGGGGCTGCGTTCGCGTGGCCCCTGCCCAATTCAAAGTTTAAATCTTTAATGATCTGTGTTCCAAATAGGCTGACTACGGTCTACGGAGCCTAATGGCCCTAATTATATAATTTAGGGAAGAATACATAAATCCTGGATTTACTTATACACATTTCAAAATTAAGGTTAGATGTTTTAAA